TAGAATGTACTGTCACTAAATTATGCATAGAACTCACTCAATTCTCGTCATGTGCTTTACATTTCAATTTTAGTTTTTGCATTTCTTTTTTCACTCTTTTTTATATAGAGGAATCCTTGTCCTGACACGTAATCTTTCATATTTATTTCTATTCTCAATAATATTCTCTTGTTTCCATTAAAAATAAATAAAATTCGGTCAATGCCAAATTATCTTCCATCCTAAGGTCCTCAAATTGAGAAGTCAACTTTTGGAGCTTAGACTTTCTTATCGCGCTTGTTTCCTTGTGGGAAACCGTTAAAATATGGTAAGCCTCCTTGAAAGTCTCACGTGTGGAGATCCTCTATAACTCATTCACCTCGAGGGCATTGAAATTCGCATTTAAGCCTTGTTTGGAGTTCTAATCACTTACCTAATAGTTATCCTTGGTCCATTTGTTGAAGGGTTTTATGTTCTCACTGGCCTAGGTGGTCTTGGTAGGGGGGTTTTCCTCCTAATTGAGTGGACATCTGCACGCACTCATGTATAAACTTAAGGAATACTCTGGCCCGAGCTTTCCAATAGACATAGTTAGTTCCATTAAACGACGACGGTCTTGAAATTGAGCCCCCTTCCCTTTGATTATCCATCACAAACACATGGGGTTTTGATAGATCTCAAGCGACTAGATCAATGCAAAAATAGAACTCTTGGGGTCATTAAGTGCTCTGATACCAATTCAGAGTGCGATGATTGTACTGCGGATTCTAAACTCAGACGTATGAATGACCTAGGGGGTAAATAGTTCTTAGCACTCAATACTTAATTTATAGCCCAATTTAAAACTTATTACCATCAGTTTATAATTAATGTTCAATTGAAGCACAAAACCCCTCATTCGACTGAAGACTCCAATCAATTTAGGAATTAAATGCAAAAGCCCTAAATCTTTGGCAACACCCACAAGGAGCTATCTATCAAGCATATAGGGAGTATAAAATCGCAAGTATGTAAAGACATGAGAAGAATCAACACAAACACAAGATAAACAATTTTATTTGGAAATCCATTCGAGAAAAACCATGGGACCGTAGTCCACCTAATGTAATCCACTAGTTTCAAAGTAGGTTATCAGGATAAAAGTTTTGTATCTAAACTACTACCATGGTTAGGTGCTTTATCAACTTGAACCTTCACTCTAAAGAACACTTGTCACACCCCAACCTTCACTCTGAAGAACACTTGTCACTTCCCAAAATTCATAACCGATGTGAACTAATTAATAACCATCAAATAAATCAAATCTCAACAAATATCCAACATCTTTTAACTAAAAATCCAAAAAGAACGTAAATCAACCATTAAATGTTTACAACCAACAAATCCCAATAAAACTTATTAATCCTTTCAAACTAATCAAAACTCAAATATAAATAATCCACCATCTGTAAGAATATAAAACTAGTACGACAATCTTTACGCCTCAAAATTTGGATCAACCTCCGGATCCATCTCAACCTCAAAAGTCCTTGTGCTCACCTATGCCCTTATCAATCTCAAAGCCCAAATCTGAAAAATGTAAGGAAGGGGTGAGCAAAATAAGTTCAATAGGAAAACTTTCCCAAACCTAAACAAGGTTTACTAAATATATGAAAACAGGTCGGTCTCACTTTATGAAATAAATATATTACTTTTGAAGGAAAACATGTGACAGTTAATAGTAATCTCAAGTTTTGATGTATAAGCAAAAAAATTCATGAATAGGTGGAGCCAATTCTCAGAATAATTGATAATCAAAACAATTATATCTTATGTATGTAGATAAATTAGCATGAATTTACACATCGAGTATATCTGGCGCACACACATACAATCATTCAACCAATCCTCGCAAGGATACACTATTTTAAGAAGTATGTATATTGACGCATCGTTATTGAAGAAATCTTATTATAAATAGTGTACTAGTCATCACCCTCGATCCCCGTAAATGAATAGTAGAACCTCGAAAGGAACCAAACAACTCCATTATGAGTGATCGAAAACTTTCAAATCCTTCAAGTTAAGAAACTCATTTAAACACTCTACGATATATGGTCGAATACAACTCACATTCACAAATTGGTGAGCATGAATTCAAAACACGTATACCACAATTCCATAAAACGTAGAAGAGACCAACCAGTAACAATAATTTTCCATAAAAATCACGTATACCACAATTCATAGTTTCACGATTCGCAACATAGAACGAGTAATCAAATCAAAACATGCAAGGGATCATAAAAAGATATATCCAATTTGACCCTAATCAAGATTTAGGGGTTTTCATAAAAAAAACATACAATTTTGGATGTAAATTGTGTAATTTTTTCAAGAAACAAACATGTAATCGAAAAGAATGTAAAATCATTATAGATTTATCATATATATTGGAATATGAATCAAAAAGACATAATAATTCTAATCCTCAATGAATAGATTTGAAAAAGAAATTCTACCTTAATCTGTAGATAGTTGATTCGAACATATTTTGATACGATTGCCACGTGTTAATTCTTCATGATCTAGCCCTTTTCTTCTCTCCCAATTCTTTTTGGCTTCCTAAGGTTGAAAAATCATGCATAGCAACACTAAAACGTGGCTCTAGGGTATTTATAATGTCAAAAATGGAGAAAACTCTAAAAACTAATCAGGGATATTTTTAGTGAAGCATTCAAATGGTTCTGGATGCCCCTGACTTACTATATCTGCTTTATTTTACTTAGAGTCGTATTTTCTGGAGAGGCATTGGAACACTTTAACTTTCTGTCCAGACTTTCAAATTAATTTTGACTTAGTTAGAAGCTGATTCACGAAAATTTCGTGATATAAACTATTGTAGTTCTTGAAGTCTTCTTTCTAATGGTGCAAGAATCAGTCCAATCAGACAATAGGGGTAAAAAGTTATGATCAAAATATTAAGGTAGTGTCATTCTTTTCTACCCGAATTCTCTTCAAAATACGTTTTAACTCTGTAATATTTTCAAACTTCTAATACATCGTATATGAGCTCTCCCAAGGTTTCTTGACCTTTTGGATTCAATGGTTGTCATATTTTGACCTAAAAACATTTAGAAACTTATATAACTACCCTTTTCAAGCTTAACGCCTCTGAAACTAAATTTGACATGAAAGTCAATTCATGTAAAACTCAAAATTCATGATCAATTTTTCAACAATACTTTAAAGTTTCTACCATTATTTTATTTATCATAGGAGAGCTCTTAAGATGATATATTCTAATTTCATTATAGTACGGGGTCTTACAACACTGTTTTGAACACTAGCTTCTAGGTCACAAATCAGAGTCCACGATCAACCTTGGAATCCTCTTTTGATCCATGAAATCTTTAAGTTTGAAGGTTTAATGGGTATTCTATGAGATCTCGCTTCTATTTCATGAATGGTTTTTGATAGAGCATTAGATTAATCAAGTAGAGATGGCCTTTTGGATGGGTAGGCTAGGGTTTCTCTCCTAAGGTTTCTTACCTCTTTTGATACTCCATTAGGCTTATCTTGGCTTACCCTAGTTCAAAAATACCATTCAATATATGTAGTCCCCGAAAACACAGTTTAAATTGAACTTCAAGAAAACTCTAATTTGTGACCGGCAGCTCGAGCAGTTGAGCGACCTAGGACCACTTGAGCCCCTCTGCCAAGTTCCTAGTCCTCTCCCTATATGAACAGTAACTGCTTTAGCACAAGGCTAGCTACCATCAACCGATCCCTACTAGTTTTGAAGTCCAAAACCAAGTAAAAATTAAGCATTATTGAGATTGAGTACCGAGTGGTGTTACTCAATAAGGTTTCATACCATGACTGATAATGTTTTAAAGTTATCGATTGGGTTTGAAAAACAATTTTCAATCAAGCTACGAGAGTCATGCTACGGATTAATTCCTAAATCTATTCCCAAGTTAAACCAAACTAAGATAATTAGGTTTCTAGGTCTTTTACCTCACCTAAGCTTGATGGATTCCAAGAAGTCTTACATGTTGCATGTAGCTTGAGCTTTTTTTTCATCACATCTTGCGTCGGTGTTCATCCTCTTAGTATCATGACCATGGATTAGTTGAAATATAATCACATGTCACCCAAAATTAGCCAATTAAATCATTTTCTTAAAGAGTCTCAAATGACTCTACCGGGTTATTTGAAGTTAGTGTCGTCGAATTGTAGTGTATCAGCTGAAACTGTTTCACAATACTGCGATATGGCCTGAATCGCTTGTCATGCCCAACTTCTTCTATCTAGCATTTTGTGCATATTGTTTGAGGCCGTATCATGTCTGATGACGATACCACAACCTTGAACCATGATTTGTACAAGATGACACCAATTAGGGGATCAAAGTAGAGGTTGATATGAAGCAAAAGTCATTTTGATATTGTCTTTTTTTTTTTTTTTTAATATTAATTTTTTATAGGCAACGGTATTTTTACACTATAGGGTGGGGGGAGGGGAGCCAAACTTTTAATCTACTGCTTTATTGTGGAGGGCTGTAACCATCCGGGTAAGACCTCAACCAATTCATTTTGTTAACAAAAAAAAAAAATAATGATTTTAAGAACATGAGACAATTAAAATGCTCATGACCATCTACTTGTGACGAACCGACAATAGTGCCATCCCACCACCACATCCTTCCTTAGAGAGGTAGGAAATGACATAATTTCACGCAAAATATTCTGTCACGTGGAAATTTTGATTTCAAAAATTCCAAAATATTCAAATTTTGATTTTCAATCATTGATTGGTTTTTGGTTTTCACTGAAACTGAACAGTTTATGCCATTCTGACTGAAACGAAGTGAAATTTTAATCCTTAATGAGGGTCAACAATTGGGAAAGATGTAATTGGCAGGACATGGATTTCGAAGCACATGTCTACATATATATATATATCTGTCATCTTTTTTGTTTTGGTAGCTTTATTGTTCTTTATGTTTTCATGCTACTATCAATATCTCTTGCTTATAGTGGTGCTTAAATGGGATAGTATGGGAAGGTCTAACTGGTGTTTCTATGTCATTATATAAATCTTGGGCACAGAACATGAAGCCCAGTGACATTACATTGGATAAAGCTTTGGAGCTGTTGTCAAGTAAAGATGTGAAGAGATGTGGTCGACCAAAGGGAAAACCGAAGCTTGAAGAAGCCATTGAGGCGATGTAGGATTGGTGCGAAGTTGCGGACTTTGGAAACCATATTGGTGTTCATACGACATAGACCGGAGACATCCACTGCAGCTCATCCCATCTCTAACTGGTCCACATATGAGCTGAACGGAGAATGGCGTGCATTCCACTGCATTTAATGATTCTTTTGTATTGCTAGAAGACATGTATAGTAACGCTTACACCGATCAATTTTGTTTTACTTTTTGCCAGTTTTTGTTTTATAGAATATCTATTGTTAAGATGTGGTACAATAACCTTGACGTTGTGGGTTTGAGGGGAGCCATGTTGTGCACATAATGTCAAAGATTTGGTTCATACTTAATCTACTACTGCTAGATGTATATTAATAGGGACTGCAATGTATGTTATTTATCTGTTGGCCTTCGTGTGCTTTCCCTGTCATGTAAGGCTCAAGTCTTTCTCTTTGTATGATGCAATCATGGTAAGTTCTCTATGTGGCGTTGAGTCTTTTTACTTCTAGCCATTCAGAACCTAAGTTCCATGAAATGTATCACATTTCTGAAATTTGCCAAACTTGTCATTCTTGGGGCCATAACAAGATTGATAATTTACAAGTTGATGTAAGTTGCTGGGGTTTCCCCTAAATTATAGTGTGATTAGAATCCAGACAGATAGATGGGAGCTTCAGGATGAGCAAGTACTTTTTGGGTTTCACTTCACCAAAGACTCATGATATTCTCCCTTGCTATGTTGGGATGCCATATGCTTGTTAGAGTAATGTAGCATCATTTTCAACTGAGCGCGATCTCTCCCCCTTCGTTTTTTTTATTATGCAGTTGACAGATTTTTTTACGAAATCTCACATTATCGCGCGTTTCTATTTTCGTCTTGTCAAACTTTTGATGTTTGATGTTTTATTACATTATGAGTTTGAGGGGATGTTAGAGTAATCTAGTATATTAGCAGTAAGGGTGGATTAGTCATCTATGTTATTATGTTTTGCCCTAATATATAAGATTGTTATTGTGTACTGTTCTGTTTTAAGGTTTGTAATACAGACTTAGTTTATCTTATTAAGAATCTCTTTGTTTCTCTCGTTCCCTTCTTTTCTTTCTTTGGTAAATATTTACAATGTTGTTGTGAGTTTGTGACTAAGGCTCTCCATTGAAACCCATATGGCATTTGGTTGAGTTGAAATACCCTTGGTTGGGCAGTTGTAAGCCAGTGTTGGATCAAATTGGCAATTATTGTCATTGTACTATGCATGTATGGAGTTAATTGCAAACATAAGTTCCATTCAATATTGGGACACACTATTAACGTAATTGTCACACCTCAACTCCAAGGGCATGACTAACAGTGAACCATAGATCTATAACCTATGGAACACATAAGCCTAACAATAAATTAATAATATAGGAATGGAAAATCACATTAATACTAAATTGATTTCATGTCAATATATCAAAATCAATATACCTAAACCTGTTTGCCCCAATTATCCAACAAGATGGTTATACGATATATGCTACGGAGGTCACAACATTATTAGTCCCTAGTCAATTCCTTGAGTCCGCTATTGACACTCTAATCTTTTACTTGGAAAAATTTTATTTTGAAAACATGAGTTAAGAAGCCTAGTGAATGGAAAGACATGCATATTCAAAGTGGCTGAAAAACATTTTTGGCATACATGTAAATCAAAGATTTGAAAAAATAACTTCATCAAGATAACTAATTTCTTAAGAATAATACAATCGGGTTTCAACAAGAAATCATATTACAATGGTGAATCATATCATAATGGTGGATACTGTATGATATCCAATAATCGATGGGAACCAAATACCAAAATATATCTCAGGGTTAGATCCAACATCGTACTTAGGGTCACCACGGGTTAGTGCCCAGGAACTGTTCCCTAAGACGATCCGGTGAAGGTCATCAGGACGCATCAGACATTGTTCCTTCAACTGCTGAGCACTAGGGTCACCTTAGCCTCCTCCAGGTTTGTTCCCTACTGACCAGAGTCACCCGCACACAGAGGAATAATTTTCCTGAACTTTTAATCATGGTCCCATTCACTATCATAAAGTCTCACCATATAAACAAGTGATTGAGTCACAACACTTCACAAAAGAAATTCATCAAAGCAAAGAGAATCGTATGCCACTAGTATTTAGACACTTAGTAAAATATTTTTNATTGAGTCACAACACTTCACAAAAGAATTCATCAAAGCAAAGAGAATCGTATGCCACTAGTATTTAGACACTTAGTAAAATATTTTGTAAAAGTAGTAATGAACAATCATGATGTATTGTTTTTAAAATGTTTAGAGATACAAAATTTTTTTGAAAATACGTAGCATGTCAAACCACTCACCTTTAGTCCAAATGATATNAATCGTATGCCACTAGTATTTAGACACTTAGTAAAATATTTTGTAAAAGTAGTAATGAACAATCATGATGTATTGTTTTTAAAATGTTTAGAGATACAAAATTTTTTTGAAAATACGTAGCATGTCAAACCACTCACCTTTAGTCCAAATCATATGTTTTTTGAGTGTTGCTTGTTACCTGAAGTAGAGTGAGATGTTATTGATGTCTTTCCTTTTTTTCTCACAATTTCCTTTCTCCTTTGATAAGGTGTTCTTCCTTCATTCTTCTCTTTTTTACTCTCTATTTTTTCTTGAAAGTAGAAGACTACTTGTGTCCCTCTCCNTTTTTTGAGTGTTGCTTGTTACCCGAAGTAGAGTGAGATGTTATTGATGTCTTTCCTTTTTTTCTCACAATTTCCTTTCTCCTTTGATAAGGTGTTCTTCCTTCCTTCTTCTCTTTTTTACTCTCTATTTTTTCTTGAAAGTAGAAGACTACTTGTGTCCCTCTCCCTTAATCAAATCCCCAAATGCCCTATTTACAGGCATTCTAGGACTATTCTAGAGAATATTGACACCCTAGAATATTCTACCATCTCCTATTTTCTAAATCCTTCTAGGTTTAAAGCTTATTTTGCACATGGTAATTTCACAAGTATCTAGATTCATTTATGATATTTTAAAGTCTTCTTCAACTTTCTACGTCATTCTAGAACTTTCCAAAACATTCTAAATCNAGGCATTCTAGGATTATTCTAGAGAATATTGACACCCTAGAATATTCTACCATCTCCTATTTCCTAAATCCTTCTAGGTTTAAAGCTTATTTTGCACATGGTAATTTCACAAGTATCTAGAAATATCTATGATATTTTAAAGTCTTCTTCAACTTTCTACGTCATTCTAGAACTTTCCAAAACATTCTAAATTCCTCTAGAACCTTCTAGTATTTCTTAGAACCTTCTAAAATATGCTAAACTTTTTTAGATTGTTCTAGACTATTCTAAATTATTCTTGAATTTTCTAGAATATTCTAGAACTTTTTAGAAACTTTTCCAATATTCTAGATTCTTCTTTAAAATTTTTCTTATTCATTCCAATATAATATTCTCTAACTAGTTCCTTTTCAAAATGGAACGGGGTATTACACTAATGCCCATAAATATTGAATTACTAACTTGCATTCTCAAATTAAGTTTTAATAACATTGCTCAAATTTAGTACAAGTAGCATTATTGCTTCAAATTGGGTAATCAAAGAGGTTTCAACCTTTTCAAGCTACAAGACCTATTTCGTAGTTTAGCTGACCAAGTGCAATTTATGAGAAAGAAAATAAGGAATACATTTCAATAAAAGAGTTTCTGAAAACAAGTCTTCTGAAACTGTTTGCAAGAACTTTTTTATTTTCCCAAAATTAAATATTCCCTTGTATCTATGTAAGGACCGTAACTCATAGTAAATGTTGGTAAACTATCCACGCCCGAATTATGTGTCTTTATGCTTGTAATAATACAAGATCAAATGAATTTGAAGACTTATTCCGGGCTTTGGCATGTTCGAAAACGTTATCCTTAAAAATACTTTTCTTCCCTCCAAAATGGAATCATGGTGGTATAAGGTCAATGGTGATTTGCCCTCAAGGATTCAATAATCCCTTCCCACCAACATGCTCTGGTTCGATGAGTCACTGGAACAATCTTGCATTGTCCTCGTCTTGAACACGAACAAATAGATTTCTCACAGAATAAGACATATCAAAGTTAAGAATAGGTAGGATTTAAACTTAATTACGGTACAATGTATAATAAGAGAAACAAGATAGTTGAAAAGATATCTTCTCAAAACAATGGAAAAAAACTAATGTTTTAAAATTCGGTCCGCCCTGACAAGTTGATTCGGTGAACAGGAGCCTGAACCAGACCGATTTAGTTATTAGATCTTTTGAGCATAGAAATCGGACAAAATCTGTTGACTTGGTTGATTTTGTAACAAACCCGGTATAAAAAGTAGGTTCTGGGGCATTTTTGCCAAAATTTGATAATCGATCTTTGCCCTTTACCTCACAGTCTCCTCGTGTCCTACTCCTAGACTTTGACTAGGACTCCGACAAGGTCACTGGTTTGCCATCTCTCTCCTTCTCCCTCTCCCTCTCCCTCTCTCCCGCTCTAAGCTCCATTCGACTTGCGGCTAGGGTTCATATACCCTCAATTCCTCATTGTCTCTCAGTGGGCATTCTTCAACTCCTAATCCCTCTCTCCTTGTCTCTATCTCTCTCATATTATGTTGTCTGCAGTTTTTTTGGGTCCATTTTAGATTTAGATGATTTATATTTGAATAAATTTTGTCCCATTTCAATATACATTCATAAATTTGGTCCATTTTAGATTTAGTCGATTTGTATTTGCATTCCTATACATTGATAATTTTTAGGTGGCTTAAAGGAGAAATTAGATAAGCATTGGAAGAGTTTACATATATGCATCAAATGACAATTGTCTACACTTAAGAGTTAAGAGCAGATTAATTTTTTTTAAAAATCCTTTGTAATGCTCATGTTTGAATTTATATTTTAAATATTAAATAATTATATTGATTATTAGATAATGATGCATGAAAACATTCGAGTTTTTGTTTAATCTAATATACATTAAGCATGCTATTTTCATAATTATTTTAATTTTTTAGCCTATTTATAATTAATTTTAATTTTTTTTTATATATGACCGACTCGGCCAGTGACCAACGGCTAAATTAATGACCAATTGACTCAAATCCCTTTTTTAGAACCAGTGTCTGGGCTAGATTTTAGAATTATGGAAAAAAAATTTGATCAAATAAAAACTGCACGATTCTTGTCATAGACACAGGATTCGTTTGTCAAATTTCCCATTACCTTTTGTTTTTGGGGCAAATTTCATTTTACCTCCTTATGATTAAGTCATTTTTCACATTACTTTCCTCACATTTAAAAATAGCCACAACCCTCGTGTAGTTTGTGGACCAAGGTGCAATGCTAACGCCGTTAACCGAAGTTAACCGAAATAATAAAATGACCCCAATACCCTTCAATCTCTTTCTTTTAGAATAGACCCAACTCCTTCTCTCTCCCCTATTTCTACGGTGAAAGACCTGAATTCTACAGTCTCAATGCTAAAGCAAAAATCAGAGCAAAAATTGAACTCAATCAAGAATTAAGAACAAAAATCAATCCAAATATCAAACAAATATTTAATCTAATCCCTAGAAATCAAAGCTAAACACCAATCAGCAAACCACTACTGCCAACAAACCACCACCAATAACTACTCCCACTAGAAAATTAACATTGCTTACTGCTTCCATATCCACAAACAAACCTCCACCACAACAGCACCCACACTCACCAGCAACACAACTGTAGCAGCCGCGACAAAAAAAATCACATTGTTTACCGCAACACCTGTACCCAACTCTACCCACCAAATGCTCCCACATTCATGAAAATTGCAAAAATCTAGATGTTGGAGAGAAAGAGAGGAACATAGATTCAAGACCCAGTTAATTTATCAAAAAAAAAAAAAGATTCAAGACCCAGTTGAAAATTTCGAGCTACTCCTCATCATGTCGAATGGTTCTTGCCTAACCTTCCTTGATAGTAGCTGTTCTAGTGAGGGGTTGCCGATGATGGTGGTGGGTGGGGCTTTTGGATCATTACCGACAACGAGAAACAGGGAGGAGAGAGCGAGGAAAGTAAAGTGAAGAGTAATTTTGTCTTTTAAAAATATTGTTTGCATACCCACTCTCACCACCTTACGTGCGTGGCTTGCGCAGATTGTCAATTTGGACGGAAAATATAACAGTGCACTGTGGTCCATAAACCACTTGAGGGTTATGCGATTATTTTTAACAGTAATGTTTGGGTGACCACAAAAATTAAAAATCAAATGGCATGGCAGTCTAATTAACATTTCAATTCAACTGCCGTGTCAATTAATAGGCAAAATTAATATTCAATTAATAGGCAAAATTTATATTTTATTAATATTTGACCAAAATCTTTTCGTTTTCCCGCTTCCTTTGTCGGATAACCATTAGACCCACCTCTTTCTCTCTCCAAACTCCCTGCTACTCTGCCATGTCTCAATAACCCACCACCGGCGACGACCAGCACACCCCAACCCCAGGTCCGCTTATTCCTTGCTTCATGTGTATCCTTCGAATCCTCGTCGTCTCCGTCACCAGAGCCTTGTACAGACGCAAAAATCTGCAAGGTTAAAGGTCAATGATTCTCCTTTTAGTGAAATTATCAAGTCCGCCCAAGTTTATATATAGTTATCATCGACCTAAACTCACACCCAAGAGAGCTAATTGTGAGTACCCAAATGGCGAAGGAAGAGCAAAATGAAGCAAGCTCCGTGGCCGCCGATCTGGTCAGCTTCTTAAACGCCTCTCCCACAGCTTTCCACGCAATTGGTAATGCTTTCTTTCCCATCAGTTTTCCATCTCTTAGTCTTAATTTAATTTTCTCAGAGGTTGCTGGGAAAATGATGAATGAAATCAAAGTTGTTGGCTTTTGCTATTGGTAAAAAGTACCGTGTAGATTCACTAATTAGTTCGATTATTTTTTTTAATTTTTTTTTTAATTTTTTTGATTATTCATGACTTGAATTCAATTCGTTCGTCTACTACTTTTTGCCGACTCTCCACTGGGTTTCTGAGAAAATTGAAGAAAATAAGAGAAAGCGAAAATTTGAAATTTTGGGTTTTTGAATTCATCTATGTGGAAGAATTTCTGGTTTTGTCAACTTCAACTGTTCAAGTAATAACTTACATGTGCTTTTAGCTTTATACTTTAGCACTTTCCTACAGCCAAATTGGAAAATTTTTGAGGATTTCTTGACGCACAATATACAGTGCAAATAAATTTGTTTTATTGTAACACCCCCTTAAACTGGCCCGTTAGTTTACTGTTGACCACACGTCAATTCGCAGAAATATTTGTGAGTGCCGTATATTTTTGACATCACGTCAATAATATCCCTTTTTCTGAGATTTTAACCCACACGTAATCCGTCTGTATTTTATCATTTAATTCAACCAAGATTCAACATGTTCCAATACATCTCATTTAATGTCCATGTGTATCATTGGTACTAAGGAAATCAAAGCCCAAGAGTATCGCAATTTATTTTTAAAATGTCAAAATTTTGGAAAGAGTACTGGTACTGTGTGCCGATACTGTCTGCTTGTTGGACTAGACTATACCGGTAGTCTCTGCCTAGTTTAGCTTATTCCACTGTTTTTTCATTTCAAAACCATTTTAAATCATCCCAACACCATTCAAAACATGTGTAAGGATGTTTATCACATAAAACTTGATATCTACAAGTTCTATTACAATGCGTTTACACGATTTCATACTCAACATCGTAAGTTTACAAAGTTTATACAAAATGTATTACAAAAGCCACAAGTCGACTTTTCTTCATCTTTGAGGCCCCGAATGAGAGTCCTTCGCCGGTATAAACTCTTTACCTGAAATGTGTTCCCATATAGCGTGAGTCAACACCTAATAAAATATTTTCTACGGAGGCTACTTGCCGTCTAAATGCATATGCAATGTTTACATTCAACAACCACAATCATAAATCTATTTCATATAAGAACATGTTATTCACGATGAAATTTCTACCATGCCATGTCATGGTATGAGGTGAGACTTACTCATGCATTTTCACCCAAGCTTACTTTGGCTCCCACAACACAATGCCATGCATGTGTGTAAACCATTTGTCCTTGATAAAATACATCCAAAGACCATTTTGAAATAAAATCATATTTTCATAAAACCAATTCATTTTTGGATGTTTTCCGTCAAATGAATCATTTATATAACAAAATCATGTGTTTTTGTTGGGTATCGGATTTTGAAATCACATCGTTGGCCCCGTACGCCATTACACTTTTTCGGAATTTCACCTCAGGGGAGTGTATGAACTAAGTAGTCGGGCCTTTCACCTGAGGGAGTGTCTAGCCCTTCTTGCTATACCCGACACAAGTTTATTTATTTATTTTTTTTCATGTAACCATGCGACTCAGTTATATTTTTAATATTACCAATCACTAAGTATGATGATTGATCTAACCATGCACAAATACACACACACTTATACTTATGGCCATGGATGTATTATCCCCATGCAATATGCAATGTAATGCACCATTGCAATGTCGATGTCATGCCCAATACGCAAGGAATGCTAATGAGCAATTTAACCACATGTCCACATGTTCCATGACAATTTATATCACATGCATATAATCACCAAAATTCATTATCGTGTCAATACATCAACTAGCATATATCAACATTTATATCCAACACAAATCTTAAGTATGACATTACACAATCTCATGCCAATCACATATAATCACAAGACATAATATAAACATGTAACATGCCCATATAAAACAATTTCAAGGGATTATACAAATGACTCCCACATATCAAATCCAAGCTAGAAGTTGGCCTAAGCCATTTCTACACCATTTTCCTCATTTTCATAACAATAAACAAATGGTATATATATTTTACATACTCACCCCCTTCTATATGAACATCATAGGATAGAAATAAGTCAAAGTAGGAGGAAACTCTACTTCTTGGAGCGTGAGATGAAGTGTGGGGAACCTCAAGAACACTTCTAAGCCCCAAAACTTTTGATTTCACAAAATCTCCTTATTGAATCTTTAGTGAAATCCTTCGTTCTTGGTACGTACGCGTAGCCCTCGTCGCGTAGACCAACTTTAATTCTTGGTTCAATGAATTTCGACCGACGAACTCTTTGGATCGCAAGAAGAAATGTAGAATTTCTAGGTTTTCTCTCTTCTCTCTCTTTCCTCTTTTCAATGTCTAATTTAGCGGGCCAAGTGGGTGAGAATCTCTGATTTTTCAGATATTTAGCTCATATTTATACTTTTTAATTGCGCGGTCCACATTGTCCCGCACGTTTATTACTTCTGGGTCTATTTTTAACTAAAAATGACTTAATTAATTCCCGGCTTCAATTCAAATTAATTTTATTTGAAATTTTATCTAATTATAAGAAAATTTTATAAATTTTATTTTTGGGGATTTTTGTGAGGTTATTCGTCACCCAATTGTCTAGTGAAACGTGTAAAATCCGACTATTTCAGAATTTGACAAAAATTGACACGACAGCTCGATTTCGCGATACGNTTTATTTTTTTTCATGTAACCATGCGACTCAGTTATATTTTTAATATTACCAATCACCAAGTATGATGATTGATCTAACTATGCACAAATACACACACACACTCATACTCATGGCCATGGATGTATTATCCCCATGCAATATGCAATGTAATGCACCATTGCAATGTCGATGTCATGCCCAATACGCAAGGAATGCTAATGAGCAATTTAACCACATGTCCACATGTTCCATGACAATTTATATCACATGCATATAATCACCAAAATTCATTATCGTGTCAATACATCAACTAGCATATATCAACATTTATATCCAACACAAATCTTAAGTATGACATTACACAATCTCATGCCAATCACATATAATCACAAGACATAATATAAACATGTAACATGCCCATATAAAACAATTTCAAGGGATTATACAAATGACTCCCACATATCAAATCCAAGCTAGAAGTTGGCCTAAGCCATTTCTACACCATTTTCCTCATTTTCATAACAATAAACAAATGGTATATATATTTTACATACTNAAATCCAAGCTAGAAGTTGGCCTAAGCCATTTCTACACCATTTTCCTCATTTTCATAACAATAAACAAGTGGTATACATATTTTACATACTCACCCCCTTCTATATGAACATCATAGGATAGAAATAAGTCAAAGTAGGAGGAAACTCTACTTCTTGGAGCGTGAGATGAAGTGTGGGGAACCTCAAGAACACTTCTAAGCCCCAAAACTTTTGATTTCACAAAATCTCCTTNGAAATAAGTCAAAGTAGGAGGAAACTCTACTTCTTGGAGCGTGAGATGAAGTGTGGGCAACCTTAAGAACACTTCTAAGCCCCAAAACTTTTGATTTCACAAAATCTCCTCATTGAATCTTTAGTGAAATCCTTCGTTCTTGGTACGTACGCGTAGCCCTCGTCGCGTAGACCAACTTTAATTCTTGATTCAATGAATTTCGACCGACGAACTCTTTGGATCGCAAGAAGAAATGTAGAATTTCTAGGTTTTCTCTCTTCTCTCTCTTTCCTCTTTTCAATGTCTAATTTAGCCGGCCAAGTGGGTGAGAATCTCTGATTTTTCAGATATTTAGCTCATATTTATACTTTTTAATTGCGCGGTCCACATTGTCCCGCACGTTTATTACTTCCGGGTCTATTTTTAACTAAAAATGACTTAATTAATTCCCGGCTTCAATTCAAATTAATTTTATTTGAAATTTTATCTAATTATAAGAAAATTTTATAAATTTTATTTTTGGGGATTTTTGTGAGGTTATTCGTCACCCAATTGTCTTGTGAAACGTGTAAAATTCGACTATTTTAGAATTTGACAAAAATTGACATGACAGCTCGATTTCGCGATACAATTCCAATGGTGAGGTCTGTTGCATCATCCGAGCTCTAGAAAAATACTGATTTTAAACCCGCATTATAGTTGTAAATTACCATTTTGCTCTTTTTCCCAAAAAAGTTTAAATTTACCCAAGTTTTACATTTATATTGTATTGGATTCTTTTATTTTTGCAAACTGATATTATAGAACTGTTGTTTAGATATGTTGCTGGGAACGGATTCCATATAGTTGGTCCTCACACTGATAGTCCTTGTTTGAAACTGAAGCCTGTTTCGAAGGCAATTTCGTGTTTCTGTTGTTATTAGTTGTATTCATATGTAGAATACTCTTCTTAAGAGATCCATTTCAGAACAACAAAATTTTGGTATGGTATCTTGATGGCTTTTCACTTGGATAGGTACTACTATTTTAGAAGTGATTAATACAGTTGGTGGATGCCAAGTGGTATAGTTTTGGGATATTAGTTGCATGAATGGCTCAAGAAGCATCTTTGTTTTGCCTCTATTGGGTGTGGAGTGGTTTGGAGCTTTGCCTAACTGATTTATTGGCAGGTATGGATGGAGAGGTGTAGACGAAGGGATGTTGAGATTTCAGGTAAGGAATGTTAAACCAAAGGTGAGGGATGGAGATAGAGAAAGAGGTTTATAGATAGTTTTGGGTATAGGTAGGCCTTATGTGCAGTTGCCTGTACTGGTAAGGATGAAGCTTTTATAGGATTAGAGGTGTTTACCTGTATTGCGTACAAAAATTGTGTTGCTTTTTGATGATGGTGGCTGAGGAGCTGCTGTAATGGTAGTGAAGAGGTCTGCTGAAGTTGTTTGGCTAGTGGGTATGCTGAAGAGGCCAGTGGGAGCTACTGTAATTTTTTGGTGTTTTGTGAGTTTTC